TGAGACAGCAATGCCTTACTTCCTGCATCCTCGGGTTAGGCCGCCACCCTGCAGCCAAGTAAGACTATTGAGTCATTCACTCCGAAAAGGGTCACCCAGTCCACCTGTCACCTGTCCACGGACGTCCCACCCGCTGCCCCCCCCCCGACCACTTCACACCGCACACGCAAAGACTCCTGGGTCATTTAATTGTTAGATGTGTCCAGCAGGAAGAAACAGAATAACACCTTGCTAAATCTACGAAGTGTTTTAAACGGGTTCTTTTAACGTCCCTAGTTTATGTTAAATTGGTAAACAGGCAATGCTCGCTGAGACCGCATACCCCCTCAAAAGTGTTGTTTTCTGTGACTAGTAAAATGCATACATGACCCAAGCGTGGACATGCATTGCAAGACGCCAACGAAGAACTCGGCTTATTCACATTACACTGTGTATCCGGTGATCCAGATGCGATGGCCGTGGAATACATGGCGTGGAAGTTGCATCCAGTCCTTACCGAATTGGATTCCAGTGAACAGTCTTCTTTGCGTCGTTCAGTTTTCAGTTTAATCAAGCCCACTATCCCTTGACATAAGAAAAGGTGCTTATTTCTAGTATCAGCATTTGCCACAACGGACTGCATCAGAGACAACATCATCAGTGTTGATACTGATCCCAACTGTCGTCCAGCCAAAAGGCGTATATAACTGTATTTAAAGCCTATAATGAAAAGAGTGGGTGACGGAGGCCTAGTGCATGCCTATCGCATGTGTTCCGAAGTCTCTACACCTCCAAGCGCTTAATCAGATAACCTGGAGAGAAACTGACAGCACGAACGCCATCGACGCCAATCATCCACCATTTCTTGTAATGTCTCCAGCAAAGCGCAGGTGGCACGGGGACCTCATCCTAAAAGACGGACTGCACTAACACTACCCAAACTCTTCACAATCTCCTTCAAACACTTCTGCCAATTCATAAGTTGTCCACCCCGCAGTCCCGCCACGGCACGGAGATCACCACTGGTCTTGGTAGGCAGCGTTCGGCATGCATAGCGCATGGCTGAGGCACCTCAGTTAATGATGCTGGATGATTCCCGCGAGTAAAGTACCCACTGAACAGCCAGATACCCGTTTTATGATTACCTCTTCCGAATCCGTTGACAATGTCCAAAACCAATAAAGCTTCTCAGGCATCAGTGATCCAAAAGCTGAAGACGCCGCAATCGCCCGGGTGCAGAGGCCACAGCTAGCAGTCATACAATAATACGACCCTTAATGTAGCTTACTACACGCGGCCCTTGAGACTCAGCTATATGCCTTTGACACTCCGAAGAGACTTAACTTTACTGTGATGTGACGGTTTGTGTACTTCTAGATCCACTGAGCTTTGCTGGGGGTGTCCGTGAGAGATACTCGCAGAATCTCTCATACAAGTTTGGTCAATGGTTGCAAGTCTGATGAACACAGTTTCGGGGTTGGAACATGTGTGGCGACTTGTTTCGTAAAAATGGTATGTAGTTCCCGCCAAACACCGCTGCCTGGCGGTCAGGCTTTTGGGCCAAAGACTTTGGTTGAGGATCCAATATGATTGTGAAATTAAACTCACCCTGCGACAAACGCAAGCATTTCCTTGGGAGTATGTTCGGAGGCTGACAAGACATTTTGTATCCGGTAATCTTGGAAGCGGACAACGAAAAAACACAGCTTCCCCTTCATGCGACTCCGATGTAATCTGCCCCGGATCCATATGTACTGGTCAACATAACCTTCCTGTGCAACATCTTTCAAGTCGACAAAATCTGGTCCTTTCTTATACTGTGATTGATGTAGGGGTAGCATTCCATATGCTGTTGTCGCTGACTCCAGGCCACCATCTCCGTCCACAATCACAACTGGGAGCTCCTAGTAAATAAGATTGCAAAGAGACATGGGTGAGGATAAACGTAAAGCACTGCAACGTAAAAGCAGTTGTATTTGAGGACTAGATTTCATGAAGCTCAAGATATGGGAGGGTCATCAGTCCAGGAATTTATTGGTCCGAAAAAAGGACCAAACCACAACAATGAGGTAGTTCACACCAGTTGTTTCTACACTGGCATTCCAGCATTGGCCAGCATACAATGCATAGGACTGGTCAGTTGACAGAAATCTACCTGTGGATGATCGTCCGTTGACAGTTTATCCATGCCCCTGTTCAACTTCCGGAGCTCTTTTTTGGACAACTTCACTTCTGAAGGGACAGTTGGTACCTCCGACATCCTTACGATAGTTGTACAGATCACGCTTTGGAAGCACGCCACCTGCACAGCTCTCAGCAGCGAACCAAACTGTGACCTCGTAAATGATTGGTCGCAGAAGAAATCTCCCGCGTGCTGTTAGTTCCAAGGACGATGGCGATACGTCCACGGGACTACAAATCCATTACTATTATAGTGTTTGGTGCTGAAGTACCACAGTCGCTGGTGGCTCAAGAGAAAACTGATGGAATTTATGTGGCTCAGTGGTTTACGGTGCCCTATTATATTGCACCCACTACCAAGTGATTTAGTGACTGGATTCTTCAAATTGTTTTGGTTTCTTAGTACTTTTAGATGAACACTTAGAGAGATACAGGGAGCTCCGACTTAGCAGAAGTGCGCCTTCGTCACTTTCAATAAAGTTAAGGGTCTATTTTTGTACCTAAATTGGTAAGTGGTTTTCACTCTACTCGCATCCCTGCTGAGTAATTTTCTAATCGCGTGGCATAATTGGGTAGTGCGTCCCATTACTGAAGCCAAATGCCAGTTGTTTTCTACTCTAAATCAAGCTCGACGCTGCCTGTCAATTACTTATCACCCCGCGCTGTATTCGCCTAATGGAATTAAATTTTCGAAGCTACGACGTCTCTCATGAACATAGAGAAACAGGCAATCGAGTTCAGAGCATCAGTCTCAAGTTTTGAGCTCCAGCTGGACATCCCGGGGTCTCAGTACTGCTGGGAAAGTAATTCACCTGTCTTTTTCTGCCAGGGGTGTGATTGCTTCAGGGGACAATCAAATTCAGTGAGGTGCGAAAATAAGGAGGTAGATTAGGGTGATTTTTGTTGTGAGAACATACACAACACGACCCAACATTTGGGCGTGAAAGGTTTTATTTCATTCGCAAAGGTTTTGCAACCAATAGCATTGTGCGGCCAGTGGGCCTCCTTATCACCACATATATTTGGACTTCCGATGTGGCACTCCACTACTTGGAAACTGCCCCCAGACTAGTCAACCCCTTTGCCAACCTAGATCAGTTCAACCACATCCTGCCGTTTTAAAAATTTGGTCACATCCTGATAGCGAGGCTGAGCTCTGACGTTAATTATGATAAAGAATAGGCAGTATAAGGATACTGAAAGTGCCGTGCTATTCCCCCTCTCTTCAAAATACCCTATTACTATATAACGTAGAGCAAACTTCCAGATAGAGTTACACCGAGATCAGTTGCCATATTTCACCAACCTACTGAAAGTTTCACAAGTTCATGAAACATCTGAGCACCAGTCAACCGAGAGGAAATATTTTCACCTTCATTTGTTTCACATTGAGATGAGCGCACAGACAACCTTTCTTCGCTGGCTTTGGGTGCGGAATGAACCATTTTCTCTTCATTCGTACCTCAGCACCGACCCGTTTCCCTGAACAGCCATGGGTTTTATTGATCTCACAAGTTTATGAAGCGCTCTTTATTGTAATTTTTCAGGTCTTGTTCATATCGCTTTAACTTTCTGGTAACAATTCAAGCTTGTGGTCAGAATCGGCACACCATTCAAGGGATATCACTGAGCCTCTGCTTCTGATCACGTTTTAACCTGCCCAATCGCTCGAATCTGGTTTATCTTCTCACTTTTACCAATTGGATTTATGGCCATCAGACTTGTATTTAGGCAGCCGAGGATGAGATAGATGGTTGCCATCCACTGTTGGAATACTGAGTGATCTTTCAGATGCCAACATCCTGAATGCTCACTAACAACAACCATCTTAACTGAGATGGTTCTGCATAACATGTAAGGGATCTTATGTACCCTCTTTTGAAATAGGTATTCCCTTCTGAAGGGGTTCTGTTCTTTACTCTGTTCTGAAACGGTTGGAAGGTCGGTCTTGCGTCGGCTGGTCGGCCGATGATCAACCAGTCTTGCTAGCCTTTATTAGATTACCTTCCTATGGTTTTTTCCGTGCTTTTGGGCGTGACACCAAAATACGCAAATTCTACTCGATCCAATTTAGCCGTTAAAGCACAATCTTCAAGCCCAGATGCGGACAAGGTGGTCGTTGGTTTATGCACCATACATCGTTTCGTGGAATGTCGTCACCGTGCATAACGTTTGACTCACCTTCGGAAGGGACTAGGAAGCGGGAGACGTTCGCGATGGACAAACTAACTCCACGAGGCCGCTGACTAGAAGGACACATATGTTCTTTCCGCCGAAACTAAAGGGTTTCGATGTCGCGATTTTAACGGGCAGTTAGTTAATCCATTTGCGCCTTCAGGTAACATGTTGCTCGTTGCATTTTGTTTAAATGAGCACATTTTCAAGGTCGCGCAACATCACCGATTTGCATTCTGCTACCGTCTTACGCGAGATAAAGCACGAGATCGCACTTGAGCATATTTGGGCTTCTTCGGCGTTCAGTAAGAATAAAACATCTAAAGAATATCTAATGCGAATTCCATCCTGTAAGATCGGTCATTGATGTTAGTTTCCCTGACATTCTTCAGATTTAACAAAGGAGATGATTTTGTTCGGCGAACCTGGTCGCAACACATTTTCCCATGGACCTCAAATTTCATTGAGTAGTGCATGAAATGTGCAGTGGCGATGCGAGGGTAACCTATGTGAATGATCCACTCTCCCAGGCATGCATAACTAGCCCGTAGATAATACGGCGTCACGAGACAGCTGAAGGTGTCACTCCTAATATGGATACGACGGTCTATGTGTGTTGACGCCATTAGGCAACCGCCGTGATAACGGTAGTCGTTGTCACCCACCCCAACTACATTTTGTAACTGCTAGGTCAGCGGCTGTGTGGCGCTGATTATGAGACCTCACCTATGCACGGTAACATAATCCATTGGCCATCGACTGTCTTTCACACCCATAACTATACGTGATGCCACTTGTCTTTGGTGCCTATAGTGAACACCAGGCCAGTATGTACGCGCGCCGATAAAAATGAGGCACAATTTTTGCGCGATATTCTAATTTAAAGGCCAACGACTGCCCATTATACTCACAACCACAGTCGATATCGCCTACCTTAATTGCTTATCGTAATAGCCAGGCCTGTGTCTATGTTCAACGCCGAGTATGAGGCCTCAATCATGACCAGCAGCCCAGTCCAATGGCCAACGACCGCCGGTCATACTCAAAACTGTGCTCAGTGTCACCTGCCGAGGCTAATTATAGTAACTACGGGGCCCGTACACGCTCGTGGCAGACTATGCTGTCCCAACTATACGTAATGATAGACCGAAGAACAACGACATTTTTCATATCCATACGTCGTCCGTCTGCTCCATGCCTGAAAACTACACAGCAACCTTTAACAAATCATGTTTCTGTTTATTGGTTGCATTGATATAAACTGAATGCGTGGTCTATTCGGCTCTCAGTTTTTTTCGCTCGACAAGTATTCTGAAAAAATGTGTAACCAATTACGACTCGCATCCATCTTCCGCGATGTCATTTCAAACACATAATTAACCAAGGTTGTTGAGGATAACTCACCAAGTGCTTAACAAATCTCTCCGTCCACAATCCCTGGTTGGTTTCCGCGCTGAACCTGGAGAATTACTGTTACAAAGGTAAACTCGCTACTTGCTCTATTAGTCCAGTTGGCGAAAACGTTGGAACCGTTTGTGCATCAGTAAGTCGATAACGTTATTCGGCAACCAAGTGCATTATTGGGGGAAGCGAAGTTCAAGCTAGAGAAGAGTGTATACTTGTTAGTCGGAAGCGGATCTCAGTCCTGGGATCAAAGGACCACACGCGTCTTCAAGCATGCATCCATGGATGCAGCTGTAGCAAAGCTCTAGTGAGTCAGCGAGTGCGTCGTGTTAACTCCGCCCGTTTAGAGCACTAAATGTCAACTTCACTCGATTTCCACTCTCTTATACCGATACAGTGTAGCTTGATAAAATCGACACCTCGTTCTTCCTTGTCGAAACTCGTAACCATCACACACCCAACCATAGTGGTAATGTAACCAACACGGGGAACCCTTCTGGGCTTCATTTAGCTCATCGTTTATGCCGAAGTATTGCAACCCATCTTCACTTCCGCATCATATCAGCTTTACACCACCCCTACCGCACCTCCTGTCCACGACGATGCAAAAGACTATACGGTTGACAACTCCCACTTCAACTGCATGACCTCTCCCAAAAATATACTCCTCCTGCATGGCGAACCTTGCACACGATCCAGTCAATTCACGTCCCTCATAGTCACATATGTCCACGCCAGTTCGCCTCGACCGCACACATAAATACTGGTAACCGTTTTTGAAATCGGGCAGTATAGCCTCGGTGAGGTAGTTAAGAATTATTATAACTTTTGACTGTGTTCTTCCAGGCGGCATTTTAACTCATATCAGATGCTTACTAGCAAACCTTTTGGACACTTTTTCCTATTCTGAGCCCCCAAAGTGGACAAGGCTGTCTTATTACCTCACTTGAATTGCAGAAATGAGCCACCGTGAACCCTCGAAGGACCCAAGAATATTCCAACTACAATGAAAACCATAAACGGTCCATCCAAGGTGTTCATGAAAGTGGCCACTACAATTTCAGTTTCCACGGGTATAAGGGCGTGATTATTGTCTTAGTCTTTTTGAGATTAATTCCAAATCTAATACCTGGAAAAAAACGAAGCAACCAGCTTTCTCACTAAATTTTTCGCCGTTTCCATAAAGACAATGGGGAGCCGCCAGTGGCCATTAGGATACGAATCCGAGCCTGCAGTGGATCCTGAATTAGTTTAAACAACTTCTGATAAAACTGCGGCTGCGTGAAGAGATCTTAATGGATCAAATAGTTACCATCAAATGCTAAAGCTTTACGTTAAAGTTTCGATTTCTCGAATCACGGTTTCAGAGAAATTCCGGTTGTGCTTCTAGGACGTGGCCTCCGCAAGTGTGCGCACACCGGGTGGTTCCGAGTGTGCCTTCCGGTTTTTGGTTTCGTGTGAAGAACTGGGTAAATCAGTATTTAAATAACAGGCATCCATTCCAGAAAAACCCGCAGGTGGGCGTTCATCTGATTTGTCCACCTCTATGATCGTCCGCAGCACAGCCCCCGAAATATCTTTCGTACGTGTCCGCCATTCGGCACTCATCTAAGATATTTATAGCCGCTCTGTAACGACCGTGCGGAATGTTTTTCAGAAAGAATGTTTCTCCAAGTGTTCTTCCTTGCACTGAGCCTAGAAATATTCCAAAGGAGTGCGGAGTCATAATTACTATGCTTTTGCCTGCACAAACGCAATGGGTAGCAACCACTAGTGACTCG